ACAACATGAAGTGTAAAAAAGGCAAGGGAAATAATGTACGCTAAGTATGTCAATAGAAATTAGGGATGTGTTTGTTTGCAAGGTCAGTTGTTTACTCCATAGGTTGTCTGACATTAGCCCCAGAATCCGTGTAGGTGTAAAAACAACCATATATTGTCCCTGATTGGTTGATACTTGCGCGCGAAAATCTAGAGGAAACCGGCAGCCAATCAGAGACACTACAAGGATCACCGCGTAGCTTACGTAACCAACATGACGCTATTCAGTTCCGTATCTAAGCGACGCTAATTACACACGCGATCCATTTTTACCAAAATTGAGCGTGACCATCTCTTATACAATGCCTGAGTATACACTAGCGACGAATTATCCGTCTGAGACGGGTAATTTGCTTGCCTAAAACAGATACATGTGAGTAAATTTTTATTAGGAGATAAATATCTCCTAATATAAATTCGGCGTCAGACAATTCGTGTCTTGTACAAATTAGGCCAATTTTAATTACCTAGCAAGAGATTTTAGCGCGTCTCTTCGAGATTCAGCATATTTTCCTGGGTCATTAGACAACTCTGAAGCCGAGATTAAACCAGAAATGACCTGCAAGATAGCAAGAACGATGCTGAAAGTTAAGACGATTGATACAAAATAACGGTTGTATAACATAACCTATGTGGGAGGCGCGGTCAACTCCGGAGAGAGCGGTCCTGGTTCAAGCCCTGGCCTGGGACATTGTGTTGTGTTCTTGGGCAAGATACTTTCCTTTCACAGTACCTCTCTCCACCCAGGTGTATAAATGGGTACTGGCGAATTTAATGCTGGGGGGTAACCCTGCGATGGACTAGCATCTCATCCAGGGGGGAGTAGAAATACTCCTAGTCGTTTCACGCTACAGAAACCGGGATAAGCTCCGGCCTCATGGGCCACTTGGCTCGTATGCAGACTTAACCTTTACCTTTTACCTAACATAACCTAATCCTTCATCCTAGAACAAGTGAATTTTTTTTACAGAGTAACAATGTTGTAGCGTTAGATTCGGTAACTGAAAGTGCTACAAGATATAGTGGTCTCAAATGTTTGCTTGTTTTCAAAATTGCCAAAAAGCGGATTTTCAGTATCACGGAAACCTTCCATAAGACGGCCACCTTTCAGTTAATGGTTGGCATAAAGCTCAGAAAAGGCCGTTCGATATAACTAAATTTTTGTGGCGACTGAAATGGACAAGGAAACTCACCATTTTTAACTTATTTGACAGCAAAAACTTTGGCAAAGATCCCAGAGCTTGAGCAAACCCAACTCTAAAAAGATAAACTATATGTTAGTATCGGCGATGTGTGAAATTACGAGAATAATATTTAAACAGCTAACTTTCATAGTATGATGCTCTGAGTTAAAGATGAATGATCCGTAAAGGAGAGTACACGACGCGAGAATTTCACACTCAACCGTTCCTCTTCTCCACCCAACACTAAACAAAACCGACGCTCGTAGACGATTTAATAATTCTTTACGCACAGTTGAGGCACGTGCACGTAGCTAAACCATATCACTTGACAACGTTAGAAGAAGAGAATTCACAGAGACGGAAAGCCAGTGACTTGTGGCGACACATTATACTCACCTTGAGAACTCCGACGAACTTTTCAACTGCTCGACATAGTGTATAATAATCCTATCTGCAAAATATTGAATGAGAGAAGTACATTCCCATAAGAATCATAACAGTAGTAAAAAAAATAAAGGAAATGGGATGTCTTTTTACCTTGTATTCCATCGATAGCAGTACCATCCGCTTTAACGTAATACTGCTGACACAACGCTCCAAGGGCGCGAACAGCACCTTCCTGAAAAAAATCCACAAAAACTATCAATCTAGTTGCGGTAATGGCAGCAAATTAAGTCATGGTTTATCACGACAGAACTGCACCTGTATTGCTGGTTCTGTATGGGACAAGTTATCATCGATAATGCCTTGAAATACGCCTAAACGAGAAGAAAAGGAGACTTCGTTAGCTCCAAGTTAGCTAGGCAGGCAAACATGGGCGGAAACATTATTGCAGTTTAAATTGCACGAAGGCTCAAAGAGATAATGGAAAAATATACTGAATGAAAATATCTTTCTTCTATAATACTGACTTCAAGTTTTAGCCTTTCGGGTAAAAGGAATAAACCGAGGTCAAAGAGCAAACTGTGACGAAAGTATAATTGTATTTTACTGGCAAAAGAAATAATAATGATGACAGTGATTACTCAGTCTCACCAATGATCTCATCGCCATGCCAGGGTATTTCGGATACAGAGAGCTTCTGTATTAAATGACAAACTGGAAAAAAAAAGATAATTTATTACACAGCTACGGTTCAAACAGATCTATTATGCAAGGTCAGTAAACAATCAGACAAACAAATACGTTCTGGTCTAAAACGACCTCTATTGCCTAGAATAGTTAAAATCATCTACCTGCTTGTCGCATGAACTCTCCTCCAAGACCTCTGTAAGAGCAAATCAAACACAGGTCATGCAAAGAGCCTTACTTAGACAATGAACAGCTTTTGTGTAGTATCTCTTCCACAACAACATGCAAGCAAGAATCACTTAAACTCAAAATGCACGAGTTTGTATTCTCTTATGTTTTTCTTTTTTCTTTTTTCTATAACGGTTTTATGATCGTTATAAGGGGTCGGAAAACAGGACACTAGGGTACATCACGCAATGACCTTGCCGAAAAAGCAATTTCCAATACGCGCAGGCAGAATTCAAGTCGTAATGCTGTTTAATTCTCCGTGTCTGGAAGTACATGTATATGCTACGTCTTGCATCGCCCAAACATTCAAATGCCGTATATGTTGCATTATAATCTTACCTGAAACGCTTGGCTGCTTTTAGCTAAAAACAAAACGAGAAACAGAAAATTAAAAAAGGTATTAAAAGTCTGCATACGAGCCAAGTGGTCCATCAGGCCGGCGCTTCTCTCCGGTTTCAGTAGCATGAAGTGACTAGGAGTATTTCTATTCCCCCCTGGATGGAATGCTAGTCCATCGCAGGGTTATCTCCAGCATTAAATTCACTGGTACCCGTTTATACAACTTGGTGTAGAGAGGCACTGTAAGTAAAGTTTGTTGCCCAAGAGCATAACACAATGTCCCCGGCCAGGGCTCGAACCCGGACCGCTCGATCCGGAGACGAGCGCACTAACCATGAGACCAGAAAAAGAGAAAAAAAAAACATCACGTTTAGTTCTCGAGTCACTCACTCCTTCAGTGACTTCTTCATGTCTACTATTCAACGAACTCAAACGATTTCCCTATACCTCTCGGCATTTTAAAACCTAATTTAAAATAGATATTGTGTAGGGAGCGAATCTACATTAAAAGAACAAAATTTCAAGAGCTTTACCTGAGGTACAATGCCCTTCAGAACCTCAAAGCAGTCCTGGTCGAGCACTCCTGTAAGTGATCTGTAAAATGAAATCTTCACTTAGCGAGTGATATTTGAATTCAAAATCAGATTTAGAGAGGTTGCGCGAACTTCATACATGTACACATGCTTAAATACGCATTTTCAGCAATATGAAGGGAATAACAGGAAAACAAAAAAAACAAAAAAAACAAAAAAAATAGCTATAACAACTAAAAGTAGTCTAATAACAATCTTAAATTGTAAGTCTAATAGTAAATTCTGAGTATGGCTCCAAACAATTGACAGTTTGCCTTCTTAATCTCCGAGTGTAAATCTTAGCATGCACCGGCGCAAGTCAATTATCTATTAGTCACTTTACTTCAACATTGCAATAAAATCAAGCTCGCCAATAGAATTCTAACAAGTTAACAACGTATTGTAGTATTCTGTACCTGCCACTTTGTTGGGCGTAGAGATACAGGGCATGAGTTAGTTCAGCGCATCCCAGAATGTTACCGTGACGAGTGTTGAGATCGATGCTGTTGGTTTGCGACAGCATCTTAGGAAAAACTAAAAAAAGTAACAGAAATTAGTGTTAAAACTCCACAAACGTCGAAGGAAAACGTGACGTTTGATTTCAATCACTGGAGAAAAAAAACATAGCACTACTAATTGAACATTGACAAGTACAATGCGAAATGACAAGCGACATGGTCGACAATTAACACGGCAATTTTTACGAGGAAGCATATTTTCCTCTTATAAGTGGCCCTAACGGTTCTCATGTGGACACGCTATGAAAGGAAAGACAAAAGCGTTACATCCAAAACTACAACTGTGCAGATTTCTTATCTACCAACAGGAAAATTCTGGAGTAAAAAAAACCCACTGCCTATTCGCACACTAGTCAAGGAGGCTTAAGGCTTCTGTTCAAATTTCCTTGAAACAGCTAGCTGCTCATCGTGTCCAGATATGCAACGTCTGTGGTGAAAAACAGCAGGTACTCGTTTCTTCGACTTATAACGTACATTACTTGCAATTGTAAACCATACCTGTCTTGGTTATGTACTCTGGGTCTGTAGGAGTCAGGTTGTGCAACGCTTGCGATGCCAGTTCACGAACGCTTCTGTCGAGAAAGAAGAGGGCCGTAATATATACAAATTACAAGCAAGGTAACTCAGTCACACAAGTAGTTTAAGAAATGTCGGTGTAAACAGTTAATGCCTCATTTCGTGAGCGCTTAATCCTTTTACCGTGAACTGGATGTTATTGGTTTTTACTTGCGCGCGAAAATTCAAAAAAAAAAAAAAAGCAAAAAAAGCAAAATCAAATCATGGAAAAGACAAGCATCTCTGTAGAGTTACGTTTTCAGGTCCAGTCCCAAATGCGTCCGCCCAAGCGGGATAGAAATGAACGCGCGGTAAAGTAATACAATGCGTAGTTTCAGCATTGGCTCACCCGTCCCAGTGTTGTAATCTGACATCTGCTAGATTGTCAATCAAAGGTCTTGTATACTCCTTGAATTGAGCTATCGACACACTGAAAAACCAAAGCAATTTTACTCTTAAGTCGATGTTACATCAAACCTAACTTATTTGTCACACTCGACACTTTTTAAGTGCGACTAAAAGTCGCGTCGAATATAATCTAAGCCGCACAACTCCCCCCCAGTTGTGGTAAAGTCGAGCCACATTCCACTATTTCAGTAGACGCAATACGTACATATATTTGCTCTTTGGTTTATTTCACGTGCGTACACCATTTAAAACTGTAAAATATCATTGGCAATTGAAATCCACATTAACCTGAGGGTCGATCTAAGGAGGATACTTTGAACATACAGAATTGTTGACATATCAAAAAATGCCATTAAATTCTTACCTAATATTCAGATAAGTACTGATTCTGTTTCCAACAGCGAAGTAATCAGCCAGTGTAAGAATATCAATGCCGTGTGGAAAGGTACCCTAAGACCAAAGTGGACCAAAGTCTCTTACTAAATAAAACTAAATAAAACTAACCAATAAACAAATTATAATATTTCTCGTTGTATCATACCTTGTGATATCCTCAGTCAAAGCTGAACTCGAATAGTCCGGCTCAATTTAACAGCCACTCATGCTGGGAATCTCTCCAAATTAAACTCAATTGAATTTCTTTTTCAGGATTTTTCCCGGCACGATCCTCTAATGAAAGTTGCAGGGTTTCATTCAATATGAAATCATATTCATCTGGAAAATTGCGTTCTCAGCAAAAATTTCATTTCAATTTATTTTCACTAAACTCTGTTTAGATAATGTATCTGCGTAATAATGTAGAGGGCGAGATATACTTGCCTGTCTTCCCACATTTTCTTGAAAAGCAGCCTATGAAAAACAATGAATAGACATTGTTGTTAACAAGTCAGAGCATCTACGTGTATCTAGACCTAAACTAGTGCAGACGAATTTCTATTTGCACGCGGTATTAAAGGTTTGTAGTTTAGAACAAGTCACAATAAATAAGTGATAATAGTTATGTGTAATCAATTTTCCTTTCAGTTTTAACAGAACAACGATCCTTTTGGAGCAAAAGCAGAAAGATCAAAACAACGGACTTTCCTCCCCCTCCCCTCAATCCACGTTGTCATCAAATATTTAAACACACTCTTTCGTGCTGTTCCGAAATTTGACGATTTTTTAACTGTCATCGATCCACAAATTGAAGTATTAAAAGTATATCGACTAAAAACGGTCAAGACTGTCTTGGAACATAAAAGCAAAATTTTACTTACAGAGGCTGCCCGTCTGCAATTAACTTCACGATCAAACAAAGCGGTAGTAACAAGAGAACTGTCGAGGAAAACAAAACACACGAATCCTTCATAGTCAGAAGCTTTGTTTCTTCATTGTTTTGACACTATTCTTTTACTATACTTTAAGCTGAGGTTTCAGGGAATCTTCGACTACTGTCATACAAATGACGTGGAAGATGACAAAAAATTGTTTGATGATTGTAAACGTTTTTTGAACTCTTGATAAACTCGGCGGGAAAAGACACGGTTTCTTGTCAATGGATTGATTAATCATCATAACGCCAAACGAAGAAGGATAACACTTTCCGCGCGGTCTACCATTTGCTTCCTGCACATGGATGAAAGTTTTTTCTTGCTTGGGCGAACAAGCGTTCAGTTATTTATGGTTTGCGGAAAAAGCAAGAGAATCTACAGCAATGTGATGTTTGCCGTTTGCTGTATAACGTGGGGCTTAAACCCTAGTCAGCCTCTGCCATTTTTGATGCCATCGAAATGAATGATATTGCATGGATGATGGTGAAGCGAAATCTTATTGCTTTACTGTAAGTTGAGTCCCTAAAAGAAAGTTTAATTATTTTTAGTAGTTTGACAGTGATTTCCTCCGTTTTGACGTGGTCTGAATAAAGTACAATAGCCAAAACTCTCGTATGTAAACAAAAACAAACATGTGGCTGACTAGGGTCCTTTAACCTGTAAAATACACTGTATTGGCGGATGCAGTAACGGCTGCGCAATTGTAGAGCTAAAGAGAAGAGAGAATTTTAAAAGCATGGTTATACCTGGCTATTCCTTGAACGTGTGGTTGGATTTCCTTTGGATCATACGCTCGAGCAAACGACCAACAAACATAGCAAGCGCCATCTCTGACATGGCTCCCTAGAGAACAAACGGAATAACAAGTTAAAAGCGATTTTACAGTTAGTCGAATCGAGCATGTTGGTGAATTGAAAAAGCGAAAAAGCTCAGTACTCACCAACACTGCAATATCCTCTAATTTCGTCATAAGATAAGGCTTTCAGCACAGCGGGAACAACTGAAAAATAAAAACAAAACTCACTGATGAATTACGTATTTTGCACGTGTTTGATAAAACCTGAGCAGTTGTATGCAGCGGTATAAGTGTTCGTAGTATTGTGTATTGGAAAAATTCATAAAATGTCAGAGACATGTGCAACATGAACGTGAGCATCAAATACTAGTTACAAAACCTCTACCTGAGTAACAAATAAGGAAACAAAAACGAAACAGAAAACAATAACGAAACAATATAACATTCTATTTAACAAACATTCATAAACCGCAAAGAAATAGTTGTAAACCACAAAGGAACAACGATGGTTAAGGACGGAGAAGATTGACGCAGATTACAATTGACGAAGTTGAAAAATGTAGGCTAAACTTTTCAAGATGCGCAAAGCGTGACGTAGCTCCTTTAATTCGCTGTCCAAAATTGAGCACTGTACTTGTCAAATGAAAAAAACCTCAATCCTCACATAACGATTTCGCCCTAATTAGTGCAAATGCCGCATTTCCTTGGGTGCATTCAAGATGATAACAATCAGAATCTCAAGCTCAAAATATCACTTTCCTTTACTGATCACCATACATTTCTTTAGAAGTCAGCTGTGAGAATTTGATAGTACATCGAAACAATATCCCCTTATTGATGATTTTCTTTGTTCTCATAACCTGTCTGCTTGGAAACGAAATCTCGATGTACATGTAGTAAAGAGAAATTACATGTTGATAAATTGATGCTTATGGCAAACCTTCAGGTAGTCTGTCAGGTAACAGAAGTCCTCTCCGACCAAGCTCAGCAAGGGCTAAACATCCTGAAACAGAGAAAAAAGAGTTAAAAGGGCGGACCAAACAACAATTGATATCAGATCAAATATTCACGTTTGTTCCACTGTCAAATCATAGTTAGTAGAGAAGACTAACTATGGTTAAATGAATCTTCTTCGTGCTTGTTAAAATTTAAAAAAGGCTCAAGTTTTTGTGAGATCTACGAGTTATTTCTCGTTCAACAAGCAGACGATATTTACTTTCGTGTATTCATGGCTGTCTGCTGTTTTCGTTTTGTCGACAAAATGCCTTTTTTGATTCCCTTGCCACTTTTAAAAAATGAGCATCTCTATGATTTTGTAACATTGAAAGGGCCACAATGTCGACTGGTAAAAACTTAAGCTTTTAAATTAGTAAAACTCAAAATTAAAACTAACCTCCGTGCCAACCGCAATCTGATTCTCTGAAACTAAATAATAAATTATAGTAATTACTACACATGATTTTATGTCTAGATAAGTTTGTCCGTTGGCGACTAGAGCAAATAGGCCGTTTTCAAAGAGACAAATCAGTAACCACTGCAAATGGTTTACTCAACCTAGTCTGAAGGCGGGGCAGATACTACTACTTCCCACATTTTCGGTGATGGACAAAAATCAGAAAAGTCAGTTAGTGACAATGTCGATTTTAGCCGCATAACTCATTGACTTATGCAGCTAAAATCGAAATTGACTTGTCTTCACACTGGGATCAGTTATGTTTCCTTGACGGACAACTTGTTCCAGAAGAGTTTCTGTTCAGTTGTCATGGAAAGACAAATCGTTGAAACAAAGTCAGACGAGTATTACTACGGTCCAAAATCTTGTCCGTCCCATTTCCGCACGGAGACGCGGCTTAATCGTACAATTTCCGATGAGAAAACGCACAAATTTCTTGGTATCCAAAAACCTTATTCCAATTACGTTTTGTAGAATACAAAAATGGTTTCGTCAAACGGAAACAAGATCACAACGTCCAATAAATGTTGCGACACTCATTTTGAGCAAATTTGTGGTGTGGTCTTGATTTCAAACCATAGATATATACATGTATGTATGTATCTAACCTGAATAGTTCTAGGACGTTTTCAACGATCTGGTCAGCAAGCTCTTGAGGAAGTCTACCAGTTATTCTTCCAACCCTGTGTTCAACAGGAAAACAACGTCAGCCCAGTGGTCCGTCCAAAATCAAGACAAGCACAACATCAATAAAGCATTGCGAATAAAAATGTGTAAGTCAAAACTGTACTATAACGGGCAGTTTCTCTATTGGGTAAGCGCGGCTTCGGATTTCTAGCAACTTTGGCCGCCATTTCTTTATTAAACTTCAACGTCTTTTATAGACCAGTGTTTCTTAACAGTACATGTATTGTCTTCATTATTTAAAAAAAAAGCTGCCTCTGTAATTATATGTGCGAGACAAGCTTTGAAAATTTAAGCTGCACTTCTCAACTAAAATTGAAGTGAACTCTTTTGTTCCTTCTCGTTTAATACCAAAATAGAGTTTACCCTTTAGCAGCCGACCATCTTACGACAGTGTCCTTGTCTTTAAGGCCCGTCAGAAGTTTCTCTGTGAAGCAAAATATTATTTATCAAGGGTAGAAAATTAAATAGACATTGCACAACTAAATAATAAACTAGCTTACAACTTTTGTCACCAAGAATCCACTGATATTCAGGACAAATGTTTTCACGAATTTCAACAGGCCATATTCGTATTCTCGGTAATGGACTGGAACTAGCTTGCAACCGAGGCTAAAGCGGGGAGTCTTTTCAAATGCAAACAACATTTAACTCATGTTCCCCGCATGAGCCTCCATTGAACACGAAAGTTAAGCAGTGCGAACAAGTATTAAAACAAACAAGTAAACAAAATTAATGTGTCAAAAACCATATGATGGTGGATGAAACACTAGGCTAACTTAATCACTGTTTTGTAAACCAACCAATAATATCCTCTAATTCCTCGGGAACATCATATTCTTCT